CTTTTGGTAGCTAACCCTACAACGGATGCAGCCGAATTATATGCATATTTGCCAGATGAAACCTATGAAGTCAACACTACCTCTCATCAACAGGTGTGGTAACTATACTTCGATGGCACTTCCCGAGCAACCAATGTGGTAAGTGCTCCCGGATGTTCTAAAACTTCCTCAAGAGTTGGAGTTGTTTTAGTTTCCCCAGAGAAACATGTGATGCCTCGAGCCTATTCACTCACCGAACCATGTTCCAACAACGTAGCCGAATACAATGTGCTTCTCATTAGGCACAGTTTCACTAAAGAGATGGGGGTCAAAGATCTCGAAGAGCTTTTGGTGATTCTCAACTGATAGTCAACCAAATTCGAGGAAAGTACAAAGTCAGGAATCAAGACCTGATATCGTACCACAAGGCGGCCATTGAGATGGCGGGTTCATTCGAAGAATTCTTCATCGAATGCATTTCACGTCTCTAGAATACATACACAGATGCACTGGCGGCATTAGCGGTATCTTTGGCGCAGTCTCCCGACACAGAACAATAGGTCACTGTCAGAACTCACCAACTCTTTGTACCAGACTACGCCTTAGACATCAAGGAGGCACACACGGTCAGAATTGAACTCGAGCCTCGAGATTGGCGATTTCCTATTATCGACTACGTCGTGCATGGTATTTTTCCACAAGATATAAAAGAAAAAGACTCGGTCTAATGAAGAGCATCGAGATTTTATTATAACACGGCGACCTAGATGCTGTATCGTCACGCATATAACGGTTTGCTACTCCGATGCCTCTCGACCAAAGAGGCGGAAGAGGCTCTCAAAGAAGCGTACGACGGAACCTGTGGTGAACATCAACCCAGTCCTAAGCTCTGTGATCGTCTCAAAAGAATGGGGTATTATTGGCCAACCATGGTTAATGACACAGTTAACTACGCCCGACGGTGTCACACATGTTAAATACACGCAAATTATATGCACTAACCCCTGGAGCACCTGCACCCTTCAGCCACTTCATAGCCATTCGAGACATGAAAAATGGATATCGTTGGTCCTATTTTCCCACTGTCAGCCAAAGGTGACCATTTTATTTTTGTAATCACCGATTATTTTTTGAAGTGGGCCGAAGCAGTTCCACTCAAAGAAGTGAAGACAAGTGACATCGTCAAGTTTATCAAACACTACATTATCTACCGATACGGTGTTCCAAGACGGATTGTGCATGACAACGGCCCTCAGTTTGTAAGCAACGCATTCATCAAATTTTGCGAGAAGTTCAGGATCGAAGACGTCTTGTCAACGACATACAATCCTACTGCAAACGGTTTAGCTAAGGCATTCAACAAGACAATCCTAAAGATTTTGTTAAAACTCGTACGAACTAACAAGCGAGACTGGGATGATAAACTCGGCAAAGCTCTTTGGGCCTATCATACCACAGTCTGCATGCCTACTAGGGTAACCCTTATTCTCTCGTGTATGGATGCGAAGCCGTCCTCCCGTTAGAGATTCAAATTCCATCCCTTCGCATTGCTCTCACAACTGGGATGATAACGGAGGAACAACATCAGAATCGCCTTGAAGAACTCAAGATGTTAGATGAAAAGCGCTTGGAAGCTCAGCAACAAATTGAGCTTTATCAGGACAGAATCTCCCGGGCTTTTGATAAAAAAAGTCCGACAACGAAGCTTCAATGAAGGAGACTTGGTCTTTGCTGTTCGGCGACCAATGATACTTAACTCCAAGAAGAAATATAAATTTCAACCCAAATAGAAAGGACTGTTTATGATAGAGTCACTCTACTCAAATGGTGCATATCGCTTAATCACCCAAGACGGTGACAAGCTCATGATGCCAACAAATGAGAAGTTCCTAAAAAAGTATTATCCTTAGTACGCTCAGGATAACCTATTTAATGGGAAGTTCCTGGAGAATACTGTGCAGGGTATTCTTAAGGATAACCCGAGGTCAGCTGATTATTCAAGATGAAGATCAGTCATCAAATAATTCATCCTTAATCATAATTAAGAAGTGATTAAGAACCTCTTACGGTGGCTAGTCAATCATTTCCAAAATGATTGAAACTCTCCCATTGTGACTTTCCGAGCACCCTTTCGTTGAGATGAGATTTAATGATCTCATCCAGTCAATCTTCCCCAATGAAATTCTAACAATATAACTGTGGAGTGCTTGGTGATTCACGATCTTCCACCATATAGTCCCTCACTGATCAAGTTAACTGACAATGGATCTACCAAAAAAAAATTCAGCTGAGTCCATCTAGACTCCTACTATGTTTGTGCACTTAACACCCCCAATGTTAAAGTCCTAACACGATACTCAAAAGTTTAAGCTGCTGATTCATGGCAATTAGTGAACACCCTTCATGTTAAGTCCTAACCACTTGACACCAAAAACCCCACCGAGTGATTCGTACAAATCAACATTTCCACTGTTATTTATATCTTCACTCCCACTGTTTTTTGGTCAAACCTTCCTATAGTTAGGACCAAAGATAAAATTCCCTCTCGATTCCTTCAATAAACGAGAGGTCCACTTTTAAATTGGACTTCCTTTCGATAAACAAAATGTCTCCACCCAAGTTGAACGATCAAACCTATAAAAGTTAGGGTTGTCTTAATAACCCCCACTTGGTCAAACCATCAAACGGTTAGGACTACAATCAGATTTCCTTTGCGATAAAAGAAAGGCCTCCACCTTGTTTCCCTTCGGTCAAACCTATAAAAGTTAGGGCTAGAGTCAGAGTTTCGTCTCGACAAACGAGAAATTTCATTTTTCAGATCAGGTAATCAATCCTATAAAGGTTAGGATTATCTAAATCTTTTCGATTCTCGGAGTGGAGACCCCACTCCTAGTTTTACCTTCCGGATTCTCAAAGTAGAGATCCCACTTTGAATCTCTTTTGTAACAGGAGATAGAATATAAAATTCTTTCTCTCTAGCATCATCTCGATAAATGAGAAATCTGCCTTCCGATCGGGTAACCAACCCTATAAAAGATAGGATTTTCCATATCATTTCGATTCTTAGAGCGGAAATTCCACTCTAAGTTTCTCTTGCAAGAGATAAAATATAAAATTCTTCCTCTCCAGTATTGGATTCATCTTTACCCTAAAAGAAGGCCCAGAGATAGAATATAAAATTCTTTCTCTCCAGTATCGGGTTCGTCTTCGCCCCAAGTGATACGGGTGTATCTTCTCTTCGGAACTTAGCGATCCTCATGGGAGCTTGATGATAGATGATTCTCATACTAGCATGAGAATAGGGGGTGTCAAACAGTATAAGGGAACACAGTAGGAAGCGTGGAACAAGACGATGAGCAGAAGAATCGAAGTACCCAGTTTTCAGCCTGTGAGTCGACTCATGACTGTTATGAGTCGACTCATCAGGTTGAGTCGACTCATGACTGTCATGAGTCGACTCATCGCTGGTTATTGAGATTTCTCCAATTTCTGTCGAGTCGACTCATCTCAGTCATGAGTCGACTCATCGCTGGTTATTGAGATTTCTCCAGTTTCTGTCGAGTCGACTCATCTCAGTCATGAGTTGACTCATCGAGGGTTTCCTGGTTCATTTGGGATTCTGTTCACACGAATTCCTGTTGGTTTTGGGTCTGGTTATTTACCAAATTGCCATCCACGTTTGTACACCTATATAAGGGATTGTTTTAGGGTTTCTAAACAATCAGGGAGTTAAATCAAGAGAGATTAACTTGTAATTGAGATTTGGAGAGCTTGTTCTTCAATTCTAGAGTGAGATTGTGAGAGATTGTAAATTACATACTCATAATCTAGAGGAGGTATTTTCCTTCGCCCAAAATCTGAGTTATTCTTGTATTCTTATTATTTCTCCTCAACCCACCTTTGATAATTCCGCGATCAAAGGTGCTCGCACGACAACTCGTATCACCAAGAAAAGACACAATCTTTAAACATCACTATAATCCATGCCCTACACGCATGGGGGAATTTATCTTAATCCCTAAATAGAGAAGTCTGTATCTAACACATGTTGCCGGGTGGTCCGTTCTCGTGAAAACGACCAAGTCTACGTATTCAACATCGTAGCGAAAAAAATCCATGTCTTTTACGCATGGGAAAGTTTATCCCGAATCCTAAGTAGGGATAAGCCTACGCCTTATATGCGTTACCAGGTAGCATATTTTCATAAAAAGTAGCAAAGTCTACGTATTCGATATCGTAGCACTAAGTCTAAGAGAGTTTATTCTTTTAGCGTAATGTTATATGTGAAACAGACTTAGATAATTGACATGCTAGCCTGATTTAAATAGTGATCGGTAAAGGCACATCTAACCCATTGATGGCTGAGGGTTTGCCAAAAATCCTATAAGTATTATGGTTAATTATTCCAAACAGAATGATAAATCATAATAAAAGTACAATGAGCAAAGAAATGTCTTTTATTAATAAAATTGAGTTTGTAGATATAATAATCGCAATCATTCTACATGAAGCTTATGACTAAGCACTTGTTGTTCTAATTTAGACAACTCCTCTACATAAGCTCACTCAAGTTCACGTTGCATTTCAACATTGAAGGATTCGTCGGTGGTGGATAATGTTTTCGCGGCCTCTTCCTCTATCTTAGCTAGCTTCTGTTCCAAGAGTTCTAACTTCCCGGATATCACAACCTGTGAATGCTCTAGATCGACCATTATCGTTTCCAAGATGACCAGAGCATCCTCGTCTGCCTTGAGCTCCTCCTTAAGTCACTATATCTTGGCCTCGCTCGACGCAATAGAAGATTTAAGTTGATGCAAAGTTATTTGTTTCTCAGCAAGGGCGGCCTTCATTTGATCCACCCGACTTCGTTGTGTTTGGATTTTGAGTCCAGCAGAGGCTCGAGTATCACGCCATATTTATAGACAAGATTTCATCTGGGCGACTATGTATGATGGAGCACTGGCAGCTTTGAATTCTTGTAACTTTTGAACTTCGTGCTCCAG